TTTGAGATGAATTAAAATCTAATTAAAATTGAAACTATAGTCGTTAATGAGTCGCTCGTCTAATAAAAGTCAACAATAACGATTAATTTTTCAATTTTAATCCGATTTTAATTTCTACCAAACACATTCTAAAACACAATGCTTCTCCACTTGCTAGAATATTTGAATTTGGCATAAATTTTATAAAATTTTTCCATTTGTACAGAAAAATCCCCTTCAATAGAAAACTCACATGGAGGTGGGCCCCACATGAAATTAAATATTGCCAAAAATGTGGGCCCCACCTGTATTGTACGTTGACAGTTTTCTATGTGCACAGTTTCTTTAAACAGCGCAAATATTGAATTTTATATAGGGTAGGGTTGATTGGATTTGGCTGTTAGACGACAAATCTTCAAAGTGTGAGTATAATGGCAAAAAGTTAAAATGTTATCATTACTTTAAACAAATCACTTAAATTTTTTAAGTTTTTACTCAGACATCAATTATCTTAATTAAATATTTACTAGTTTATTATTGTTCTTGTTACAAGATTTATTTGTAGAATATAATATTTATATATTATTTAGAGAACAAACAAAAAATTATCCAATGAACACTTTAATATTTCATAAAATTGAAAATATGAATTAAGAACTGCAGAAATGTGTAATCGCTAAAAAAGAACATAATTTGCAAAATGAGGCTTGTGTATTACACAGTGTCCTTGAAACGTATTCGTCACCTCATCGTATGTGCTTGAGGTTTCGCATAAGTGTCTGTAACCTATGATACAACGAAAAATCTGTAAAAATCAAGCACTTCGTTTTTCTTTCGACGAACTGAATTTCTGTCAGAACGAATCACCGAGACTTTGTACAGAAAGAAACTAGAAGCAACGGTGTATTGAGAGGATAAAATAAATTTGGTGAAATTGAGGGAAAACTAAGTTTGAGGAGTCAAGAAAATTTACCATCCAACAATTTTTTGTCCATCATTCATATATGCAGGTCGCGCCCACACATAAGTTTAAGGTCTGAAACCTAGTTCGATGCGTGATTTGCACCTCCCTACTTGCACAGGTGGAGAGAGAGTCTATCTGCTGCACAAGATTACATAGCTCCAAAGTGTATCCATATATAAAGTGATATTTGCCTTCGTAAACTTTATACGTGGGATAAACTTGAATAAGTTTTTCCTCCAATACATTAACCTCTTCTAATTTATCAATTTGAACTTCAATTTCTTGTTCACCCGTTTATCATTTTTGACAAGTAAATATATGATTTCGATATCCCTCGGAGGAGCACACATATCAACCTTAATCTTCTAAAATGAATAAACGGGTCTCACTCAAAATTATCTCAAAAGTAGCCAATTAAGTCAAATTTTCCAGTAGTTCTTTTGTTTATAAATAGTTTATTTGTTTAGAATTCATATCTCATCATTTTCATATCTTCATATAAACTATGGCCTATACCATCTCAGTGTTGGCAACATTACCGCTTATCGTGGCCGTGGTTCTCTACCAACTCGATACCTTCGCTCCGGCTCAATATCCCGATCACGAGTTGACTCCAAGGCAGCCCCTATTTGTGCCTAAACGAAACAGTCACATGCTTCATGGCTTGGAAAAAATCGGGGCTGGTCAGCTGCTGGGGCCAGAAGATATAGCTTACGATCCCATCACCGGAATTATATACACCGGCACAACCCGATGGGTGGATCAACCGAGTCACGGTTAACGAGTCAGCAGCAGAGTCGAAGGTGGAGAGATGGGTCAATACCGGCGGCCGACCACTTGGACTTGTTCATGGACATCATGGTGAAGTCATCATAGCAGATGCTGTTAAGGTTGGTAATAAACAAATTTATAATAAAATTTGATCTCTCAATTCGTCAATCCTTTGAGATCTTCGCCCGGTTCAGGGCAGTCCTCGCCGTTGGC